CCTACTCCCCCACCTCACTGAACTTTTGTTTTCATGCCTTCGTTTACATAATTCTAAACCCCAGAGAAAAAAGAAAACATCTGCATCCTGGTAGTAATATAAATGTAGCAGAGCCTGCACCAATCTCTTTTTGCTGCAGGAAGTTAGTAAAAATACTCTACGTGAGGAGCGGCCAAGTAGCAGCCACCAAAATGATGAAAGACAGTCTTGTTGTAGTGTTGGTTTTTAAGATCCCTGCAATTGTTGCCTCCTTTCCCGAGGGCTGATTCAGAGACAGATCAACTTCTAAAGGGTGTTGCCTTTGAAACAGTCGCCCCATCTTGGTATGCACCTGTGCTACCAGCTGGGCCTAGCAGGCTGATCTTTCCTCTTTTCTGTTTCAGAAGGTGCCTCAACACTATCTGAGAACACCTCACACATAGTGATGATTGGTTGGGACTTTCCAAGTGGCACAAGGTTCTCCACCAACAGCATATGATGCAGAACTTCTTGGGGGTGTCTTAGGAACCTATTCTCAAAGTGGAATACCAAGCAGTGACAAACTCATCTCCGTTTGCTGCGATAGCATGAGTTGGCCACCCTAACACTGGAGACTGAAGATAGGAAGAACGTGGAATCCCAATGTTTTTCCTTCAGCCTTTTCTCCTTCCCTGTGCCCACATCACTCCCCAAATACATAAATCTACAAAGGCCTTCCTACTTTGCTCCAAAACAACTCCTTTTGTCTGCCATTCAAGACTCTCTATAATCACACTAATACTTCCCTCTCTGACTTTATTGCTCACTTTACCCTCCCACACACCCTTTGCTCCAGTCCAGTAGGTTTTCTCACTTAATCATAACTGCCTTGCTCACTCCCACCTTTGTGCCTTGTTAGGCCATTTATGGCCCCTTTCACTCTTTTCTCTATAGTCCAAACCCTAACTTTCCTTTAAGGGTCAGCTCAGGTACATGTATACCCCATTTTGTTGTCCTTCACTTTAGTGTACTTCACAGATATTGCAGTTTTACAAAATGAAGGCAACATCCTCCATCAGCAAAAAGATTACAACTCACTTTATCCTGCAATGGTCTGGAACCAAACCTGAAATATCTCCAAGGTATGCCTGTACTACTCCTCCAGGAAGCGTTCTCTCACTTCCCCAATCTTCACTTTTCCCTCTGTCTTTTTGCTACTGGCACATGCTGTCTTATACCAGTCCTTAAACAATTTCTGTGTTTGCCCTGCCTCTCCAACAGAAGTGTATACCCAGGGAGGGATGCTTAATTAATGTTTATTGTAGTTCTTGTTGATAACAATAGTGATTGACAAATGGTGATGATACTGAAGCTTCCTCCCCCATGCTTCCTCAAGGAAACCGTGCAAGACTCAGGCACACTCATCTCTAAAAGCTGTAGCCACTGTAGACAGGGCATAAAGTCCCTTGGGACACACACTGCCTGAGCCAGCCATTCAGCTCACAGAAGATACCAGCCTACACGATCTCTCCCTTCTCAGAGTTCCTACAGTGCATTTTTGTCAACACCACAGTTTAGCACCAAATTACAAATTATTTCAAATATATTAATTTTTACTCCACAACTAAATTACCACATGCTCCTTGAAGGTCGCACTTTTTCTAGATTCCCCCATGGATGGTATAGACCTGTACATTCTCTGCCACCTGATCCCCTTCACCCACCAGCTTCTCTATTTTCAGCCCCAGGACTCTCTGGCGCTTTAGGTCACTAAATCCTCTGGTCTCTTATTTCCCTATTCCTTTTGCCCTGCTGGGAGAAACTTACTGAGAATTTGCTGTTTTTGTCCAACTCTCTCCTGTTTCAGACAATCTCCATGCTTCAGCCCTTTACTCTTCTTAGGACTAGAGATGCCAGAAATGTTGACAGTCAGGAGACTCCTGAGGCCCTGGCAACCCGTTCCCCATTAAGAGTACTGATCTCCCAAGGACTGGCCATCTGATACCACTAGGCTGCCTGTACCTTGAATGCTAGGTAGTGTTTGAGGTCAATTTCCTCTTCTTCATGCAGAACCAAAGTTCTGCAAGAAAGGGTGAGCCAAATTTGATTCCTCACCCACTCCTATCTCCAACTTCCAACACAGCAGGAGCAAAAAATGGATCTAAAAGCTCTTGGCATCTTTATCAGCATTCAGAACCCCTCTGAATCATATAAGGCTCGGGGATAGGTTTGAGCTTTCAAAGCCACTGCAACCAGAGCTGACTTGTAAGAGGTAGCTGGCATCCCCAAGGGAAGAGGAGAAGAAGGAGAGAGATGTGTAGCAAGTGGCTGATAGTCCAGTCACAGAACACTAGTTGGTGGGAGGTGATACACAAGGCCCGGAGAATCAGTGGCTAGGATGGAAGAATGGCTTTCTTCTGTAGAATGATGAGTTTGGACTGTTAGAATCCTTAAAAGATACTATATGCAAAATCATTCATTTATCCTCTGGACCTTTTCTTTTCCCTATAAGCTCCCTGAGGTCAGACTTTTGCCTATCCTGTTCTAAGCCACTCCCTCATCAGCATCCTCCATAGGTGGCATCTAGGCCTGGAGTTAAAACACAAGTGAGCCTTGGCCGGTGTGGCTCAGTGGTTAGAACATGAGCCCCACACACCAAAGGGTTGTGAGTTTGATTCTGGGTCAAGGGCACATATCTGGATTGCAGGTTTGCTCCCCGCTCCAGCTTGGGGTGCATGTGGAAGGCAATCAGTCAATGTGTCTCTCTCACATCAATGCCTCTCTCTCTCCTTCTTTCTCTCTCTCCTTCCCTCCCTCCCTTCCACTCTCTCTGAAAAGCAATGGAAAAAAATATCCTTGGGTGAGGATTAACAACAACAAAAACACAAGTGAGTTCCTTGCAGCCCTCACCCCTAGCATTTTTATTTTAAAAAATTAGTTAAAATAATTATCTCAGTTAGCATTGAAGGGAAAAAAATACTATGGCAAAATGCAGCATGGAATTTGGAGATAAAGGGTTTTGCCAGACAGTTCTGGTGGAGGGAAGGGACAGGAAAGGGGGTTTGTAATGGATATGATTTATTCTTTAAATAATGGCTGTATTGTGATATAATTTACATACCATACAATTTACCCATTTAAAGTGTACAATTCAGTGGTTTTAGTACAAAGTAGTGCAGCCATTACCCCTACCAAGTTCCAGAATATTTTCATCGCCCCAAAAAGAAACCAAATACCCATTAAGATTTCACTTCCCATTGCCCCCTCCCCCAACCTAGAAAAATCACTAATCTATTTTCTATCTCTATGGATTTTTCTATTCTGGACACTTCATATAAATGGAATCATACAATATATGACCTTTTGTGTGTCTGGCTTCTACTTAGCGTAATGTTATCAAAGTTCAGCCATATTGTAGCATGTGTCAAGTACTTCATTTCTTTTTATGGTGA